TGGGAGTGTCATATATCAATCTGTTGATTTCATTGGCTGAGCAATAAAGAAACTGCTTGGCTTAGCTTAGAACATAGATGGGAGGAGGAAACAGAATAGAATTCTGGGCGGAAGAGGAAGTGAGGTCAGACTCTGCTCTGCTCCCGGAGAGACTCGACAGCTCTGCTCTGGAGCAGAGACACCATGCTTGCCATGCTACACTCTCCCAGGATGGACGAAGGCTAGAATCTTCCCGGTAAGCGCACCTTGGGGTGCTTACACGCATTATTAGGAATGGGCTAGTCCAGGTGCGAGAATTAGCCTGTAAGGGCTAGAGTTCATGGGCCAAGCAGTTCTTTAAATGAATACAGTTTGTGTGTTGTTATTTCGGGCGTGAGCTAGCCAAGCGGCTGGGGTGTTGGGGACGCAGCCCCGCCGCTCTTATTTCAACAATGAGCAGTCCAGCATGTGTGTGTATGTGGGCGACTGTCCCTTTTCCAAGATAGAGTGAGTGTAAGGTTTTAGAAAAATGTCTTAGGGTTGAGGGGCTTACCAATGCATTTAGAGGCTTTTATTCCCTCCTCTTGTTTTATCAAATCCCAATCTTGGGATTTTCTGAGGTCTCTCTTGAGTGCCTGATATTGGTGGGTCAGTACTAAAACTTGGGCAATACTGAGTCATTCACGAATGAACGTCAGGAGTTGGTATTTTCTGCAGTCCTGGGACTGGGAAGAATCTAGCTGGGGTTTTTAGGGAGGGAACTGGGAAATGGTGGGGCCTTAGAGCTTGGTGTGGTGCTTAGGGCCCCTGCAGGAGGTGGCTAGTTCAGCCCCCCCCACCTTGTCGAGTTTGCTTACACACACACACACACACACACACACACACACACACACACACACAGACAAATATATCAGTCACAATGTCTACATGCAGGATAAGAGTCCTGGAGAGTTCATTTGGTATTTTTTTAAGAGTCCTTTGTTTAGCTTTGGGTGTGTTGAAACTTTTATCTGGAGGGTCCTGAGTCCTCCTGTGGAGGAGCTGGCTTCACATGAGATGCGGGGATCCAGGTTGCAACGTCTACTTTGAGAGCGGTAGTTGTCATAAGGAGCATGGTGTAGGGTCCCTTCCAGGAAGGTTTAAGGCTCTGGGCTCTCCAGACGTCTACTGAATCACCAATGGATGTGAAATCTCTGGGTGTCCGGGCTGGTAGGCAGCAGCCAGAGGCTTCCACACCTGGGCTTAGACTATCTAGAAGACCTTTAGGTGGGCAGATAACAGTCTGGGAAGGACAGCATCAGGATTATATACCTCATCCACCTTAGTGAGCAGTGGCAGCCCTCACATAGGATCTCATAAGGAGGGAGTTTAAATCGCCCCGGGGTGTTTTGAACCCAGAACAGAACGGGGGAGGTCTGTCCAATTATTTTTGCTGGTCTCTAGGGCCAATTTTGTTAATTTATAAAAATTTTCTCTTAGAATTTTATTTATCCTATCTATCTGACCTGAGCTTTGGGGTTGGTAAGCACAATTTCCACTTGATCCCCAATGTCTTGGCCACACCCTAACTTACCTGGGCAACAAAGGCAGGTCTATTATGGGACATGATTACCTTGGGCATTCCAAACCTCGGGAAGATTTCTTTTATGATCTTCTTAGCCATTACATTGGCTGTCTCAGTCCTGGTCAATGTATGATGGCTATCTTCTTTGGCAACTGTGTGGCCTCAAGGAGGCTCAAAATTTTCACAGATGTCAACAGTCCTCTTTGTCTGTATATTGTTCTGTGTATATGGGTGCTGGCAAAAGCATACCTGCTGTCAGTGTAGCTGTTCTTTCTACCATCTGTAGAGCTTGTATCAAAGCCAGAAGTTTAGCTTTTTGGGCGGGCCGACGTCCCTGAAGGGAGGCTACTGGTCCAGATCATTTGTTTCCTGTCCACCAATGCTGCCCCCGCCTTCCGCTTACCTTCAGTCTTGTGTACCTGCTCCGTTCGGACCCCCAGCCTTGTGCCCCAGGCAAACTTCACCATCATTTCCAGCTCTGCCTGGCACAGCTCAGCCTGCCATTCTTCCAGCAGCCTGTCCTTTCTGCAGATGCTGGTAGGATCTGTAGTCCATCGACGTGAGCAGGGCACAGGAGCAGCAGCCCGGTGCCGGAGGTCACCTGTGGTAGCATTGTGAGTGCTCTGTCGCAGTCTGACATGTGTGAGGGGAGCGAGACTGCAGGGTGAACAGCCAGGGCTCGTGCAGGCTTTAGAGAAAGCACAGCACCAAGGCAGTTGCTAGGAGGCAAGGATTTCTCTGGTGGTGATGGCAGGGGGAGGTGGTCATCCTGGTGAGGAGGGCGTGGCAGAGGCGTAAGCAGACGAGCACCCTGAGAACAGCAGGGAAGGCGAAAGTCCCTGTTTGGTCAACAAAAGGCTTTGATCATACATTCAGGGGTGACCAGGGAGGAACGAGTCATTTATTTGTTCTTTCCCCAAATTTATAGTTCGTAAGGTGTCCAGTTTGTTCAATGGTTGTTTTAACCCAGAGTATTCAGTTCCTGTGTCCCTTAGAAGATCTATAGAGGTATCTAATGTCCTTTTTCTTGCCATAAGCACATTGACCTTTGTCCAAGAAGTGCCTCTGTCCGTCTTCATTTATCTTTGATCTTCAGTTGCCCAGGCTCCCTATCTGTCTGAGTCCTTCTTGTTTATGATCCCTCCAGTTTTTTCTTTTCTCTGCCCCCCGCCTTTCTCTTTCTTTCGCTTCCCTTTTCGCTTCCCAGAGAGATTCTCTGTCTCTCATTTAACACTTTCTCTGTTTCCCCAAATTCTGCAAGGTATAATCTTGCAACCTATCTACCTGCTGTAACTTTCTTCTTATATCTGATGCTGACTGTCCGATGAAGGCCTGCTGACCTTCAGAGGTTGGGTAAAATGCCTGTAAACCTCCATTAAAAATTTAAGGAACACAGATTTTAACTAGCCCCCGGAGAACCTCTTTTACCTTGGCTGAATTAGTGGGGTGCCTTGCCTCTGAGATTTGCCATGAACCCGGCATTTTGACTGTCAGTTTCTCCCTTTAAGAATTAATTAGACATAGAAGAATGAAAATAGATCCATATTTATCTCTATGCACAAAACTGAAATCAAACAAATCAAAGCCCTTAACATAAAACCAACAATATTGAACCTTATAGAAGAAAAAAAATTTAAATATATTTTTAAACATAGCCTCGGTGGCATAGACATTGAGAGAAACAATCAATAAATAGGATCTCCAGAAAAGCTTTTTGTATAGCAAAGGATATAATCAACAGAACATAAAAACATATAAGGAACTTAGGAACTTAGTCCTCATAAGAACAAATAATCCAATAAAATTATGTTACAGACCTAAACTGTAAATTTTCAACAGATGAATTTAAAATGACTGAAAGATATTTAAATTTGCTTAAATATAACATCCTTAATCATCGGGGAAATGCAAATCAAACAACTTTGAGATTTTATATTATCCCTGTAAAAATGACCAAGATTAAAAATATTGTTTGACAATTTATGCATAAGAGAATGTGGAATAAAAATCCTCCACTTCTGGTAAAAATACAAACAGATACAGCTACCTTGAACATTAGTATGGCGAATTTTCAGAATTAGGTAACATATTACCTTAAAACTCAGCAATATCCCTTTTGGGCCTATTTTACATAGCAGAATTATTTTATCATAGACAGAACCTGAAAACAACCCAAAATGTACCTCTTTTATATCAATAATAAATGAGAATCTTCACCATGTTTTTAAAATAGCCATAAACATTATAAAGAGTCAAAAGGGCCATTTTAACTCAACCTCATCACTCAGCAACACCCCCTTTGCCATTGTAGTGGGGTGAGAGGCTTCAGCAGATCTTTGCCATGTCGGGCAACTCAAGCATTGCGAGCAGTCAAGTGTCAAATTTAGATCTAAACATGGGCACATGGGCGGCTTAGAAGCTCAGCTGGGCTGTTTACGTGGCCCTGGGCCAGGGCCAGGGCTTTTACAGCAATAGTTCTTGAAGACAGTATAGTCCTGTATCCATCTAAACAGAGTTGGGAGTTTAATTTTTTTTTTATGGACACACTGCGTAGTAAGAAATATAGAAACCAACAATCTGTAGTTTCTTATAAGCACAATTTTTCAAAGCGATTCAGCTTAACTCCCCCAATTTTTAAACCAGAAGCTTTACCCTGGACACAGCACGTGATGACTGGAACAGAGCATCCCTAGAAGAGAGATGCTATCAGGAAGGCCCTTCTGATGTTGGCTTGCCCTACTACCTGTTGCTCCTGAATCCACATTCGCAGTTTACCAAAAGCCACAGGGATACTTCTTGCAATCTCTCCATCTGCTGTCATACCCAGTCCTGGCTGCCAAAATGAAGAGGTCCAGGCTCTTTATGGGACTTGTGCTTTCTAATAGGGTATCTGACCCCAGAGAAACAGCCTACTGATGGTTCCCAGGCTTACTGGGTCCTGTGGGGAGGAATTAGCACCAGCTTGGACCCCGCTGGCATGTGTGCCTCCTGCACTGGGAAAAGAGACAGGGGAGGGGCAGACAGCAGTTACCAAAGTCAGAGGGAAGCTGGCCTTCGTGCCTGCACTGTGCTCTAACAAAATGGTTTGACCCAGAGTAGGAGGGTTCTCTGAACAAGCTCTCCCAGGTGACAATATAGGGAACCTGGTCTGGGTGGCCATAAAGGTCAGGTTGGAAGACTTTTTTCTTTAACCTGCAAGATAGTATTTAGATTGAACGTCCCGCCATGTGGCCAGCCCATTTAAAAAGTGAGCCATTCCAGAAAGCAGACTGCTTGCCAGCGTTTCTTTTGGATTTCCACAGCTCGGTCTGCAGCTTTTCTCTAAAGTTAGAGTTAGGGTCAGAGAGGTGGTCACTTACTGCCCCATGGTACCAGATTTAGACTCGAGTACAAACAGATACACAAAAAACAAAGACACGACATAAAACCAAAGACATGAAAAGCCAAAACCAAACTTAAAATCAGAATCTGCACAGCACTGCAGATGGAGGTGGGCGACAAATAGCAGTGCCCCCTGGGAACTAGAGGAGTGGCCTGGTCACTCCTAGACCCTTTCAGACACTGGCGTGTCCTCCAGATTTCAGATTACTGGAGTGTCCTCCAGATACCAGCCCTATGTAGGTACAATTTCTCAGAACGCAAACTACAGTAATCGCAGAAACAAAGCAGACAGACAGACAAAGACAATAAGAGCGCTTGATCTTACCTCCAACTGGGCCTGGAATGGGTATGGAAGCAACTCATTCCTGGCCAACACACCAAAATGTTGGACTAGAAGTCCAAACATCAGGGAGGAGTTGCTCCAGACACCACTCACACAGCTGCAATTGATGCAAAAGCAAGAGGATTTTTACTCTGTCAGGACAGGGTCCTTCAGGTTCGGGAGATGAAGGACATCCAATAGCTGTTACAGCCCATCTTTTAAAGCAAAAAGCCACAGACACAAGGGGGGAATCTGTAGGTTGNTCCTTCAGGTTCGGGAGATGAAGGACATCCAATAGCTGTTACAGCCCATCTTTTAAAGCAAAAAGCCACAGACACAAGGGGGGAATCTGTAGGTTGTTTTCCAATTTATTTGATTGGCTTATTCAAAGGGTTACTAGCAGTGATTGGTCTATTCCAGGGCAGGAGAATAGCTGGGTGATCGGATGAGATAAGAGGAGCATCTCTGGCTTTCCTGACCTTGGTCCAGTGCCTAAATCAATACATCAGGAACTGAGTCAACATCTGTGGGTTGTTTTTGCCTCAATTCCCAGAATGGAGTTATGTTTGAAGATTATTCACAAGGACACAGGGGGATGAGCACTCCAGCATATGTGAGTATGTGGGCGACTGTCCCTTTTCCAAGATAGGGTGAGTGTAAGGTTTTAGAAAAATGTCTTAGGGTTGAGGGGGCTTACAAATGCGTTTAGAGTCTTTCAGGTTTTATTTATTTATTTATCTATTTATTTTGGTTTTTCAAGACAGGGTTTCTCTGTAGCTTTGGAGCCTGTCCTAGAACTCACTCTGTAGATCAGGCTGGCCTCAAACTCACAGAGATCTGCCTGCCTCTGCCTCCTGAGTGCTGGAATTAAAGGTGTCTGTGTCCTTTGACAATTTTAATGAGATGTCTGTTAGAGTTGAAAGAAATCTCTACTTTATTTTATAGATGGGGTCTCATGTATCCCAACCTGGCCTCAACTTGCCAAATAGCAAAGGATGACCTTGAACTTCTGACCCTCTTACCTCTACCTTGAGAATGCTGGGATTACAGGATTGTGTTACCACTCCTAGTTTATGCAGTTCTGGCTATAGCACAGATGAGGTACGGAAGACCCAAGAGTTGAGTGATTTGTAGCCACATCACTGCTTAAACGGTAGAACTGGGTTGCTCTTCCGACTCTAAACTACAGATTCACCCAAATTATGTTCTATCTGCGGCAGGCTGGCTTGCTTAGACCCTGTCCTTCCATTCTCGTCAACTGAACACTTTAAATCACTTTGGAAAGCAGGTTGAGCTAAGCGCATGCGGTCCTTCCTCTTTGCAGGATTGGACGCTTTGAGTCTCTTTTGGCCCCAGAGACTCGCCGTCGTCCGGCTGCGGCGTTCGCGGGTTGAGACGATGGCGACTGGGACGCCGGATTCGCAAGCGCGATTTGGTCAGTCAGTGAAGGGGCTTCTCACCGAGAAGGTAAACACCTGCGGGACCGACGTGATCGCGCTCACCAAGCAGGTGCTGAAAGGCTCGAGGAGCTCGGAGGTGAGAGCGGCTCAGAGGGGAGCGGGGCGTGGCCTCCCCGGCTCCGGCTCAGGGCTCCCGCGTCTGCTCCCTGCTCCGGGAGGGGCGGCGCATTGCATCCTGGGAGAGTGGGCTTTGGCCCCGCGCCTGTGGCAGGCGACTGGGTGCGGTTCTTTAGTTTAGGTGAGCGCTTCTAGCTGGAAGAGGCGATGTGAGGGGAACCTGTGCTCCAGAAAGGGGAGAGGCACAGCCGCTCCTACCCGGTGCCTGGTTGTTCTCACGGGTATCTCTAGTGGATGCCAGTTCCCTTTCGAAACTCAGCTTGGTGTTGCTCTCAAGCTTCCAAGATTCCATTGGCTCCTTTGTCTGTCTTTGGTCTATTCTTCTGGCCATGTTCTGCATTGTTCTCAGAACAGCTTTTCCCATTGCCCTGTTCTTCCCCCGCTTCACACTCGTCCATCAGTGAAAGGAATGATTTGATGACGAGTACACACACTCCTTCCGTCAGCTGCGTGAGCCACCACACTTGACTCCCACCCAGCCCTTGAGTTCTAGGAATCAAACTCGGGTCCTTCTTCTTACAAGGCAAGCACTTTACTGAGCCCTGTCCACGGCCGCTCAGCTGATTCTGGAGGAGCCTGATGTGCCGGGGAGATGGATTTTCTTCCTCGGTGCTGGGGATTGAACCAGATCTGCCAGGCTAAATCACCATCCATTTTTACATTTTCTAATTTTGAGACAGGGTCTCACTGAATTAGCCAACCGTACTCTGTAGTCCAGGCAGGCCTGGAACTTGGGGTCTTCCCGCCTTAGCTTTCCTAGCAGCTGAGATTACAAGGCTGCACGGCCAGGCCAGTCTCAGAGGTGGGAGTTTTGATCATTACCGTTTTATTTTTGTCTTCCAGCTGCTGGGTCAGGCAGCTCGAAACATGGTTCTACAGGAAGATGCCATCTTGCACTCAGAAGATGTAAGAAACCATTTCTTTTATAGTGTGGTTTGTATAACCACAGGGAAGTGGACTATTGTGTTTATCTCTCTATTATGCAGAGTTTAAGGAAAATGGCAATAATAACAACACATCTTCAGTACCAGTGAGTATTCCCCAACCAGCAGTCACGGACTGCGCCTTATCCTCAGCCCGTGTACATTGCTTTTGTGCTTTATTCAGTACTTTTTCCCATTGAGGCGGGAGTGGGGAGGAGGCGGAAGTGGGATGGAAGTGGGTAGAGCTGATCAAGGGGAAAGACGCTGAGGCTTCAGGAACAGTTGGGGTGTGGGAGAGTGAGAGCCAGGGCCACTTGCTTTGGTCCTCTGTGTTAACTGGGAGCACTACAAGGGAAGAACCCAGAGAGGCAGAGCTTGCCAGGACAATGCTACCAGTTTGTGGCCCCTGGAAGACACTCGATCAGTATCTGTCCACGCTGTGCCAGTGTCTTTCCTCCCTTGGAGAATGGAGTGTGATGGTAACTGGCACTCCTGCATATAACACAGCACCAGCAAAATCATTCTGATTTTGAAATACATAGACAGTGCCTTCATTGTAATGATGAAGAAAAGTATAATTGAATTTGCCTTTTCCCCCCTGATTTATATTTTATGTGGTTGATAAGATGCTTGCAAACCCTTTGGAATTGTATGGCTGAGAATTCAAGTCCCAGTAGCTAACGTTAAAGCTGTCTTTTAGGTGTGCAATTAAAATATGTGGTTATTCATCTCCACGTAACTATACTAAGTTTAAGTGCTCGTTCTGCCTTTGTGATCTGTTGATGACAACTTCTATTGGTTCACTGGCTCTCCGTATTTCTTTCCTTTTTTCCCTTCCTGACTTAGACAAGAAGCTATTCAGAAGAAGTAAGTGACCCCAGAGGTGGTGGGTAGCCCCCACTGAAGCATACTGGGAATGACACCTCAGAGGTGGTGGGTGGGGCTGACTGAAGCATCCTGGGAGTGACACCTCAGAGGTGGTGGGTAGGGCTGACTGAAGCATCCTGGGAGTGACACCTCAGAGGTGGTGGGTGGGGCCGACTGAAGCCTGCTGGGAGTGACACCTCAGAGGTGGTGGGTGGGGCCGACTGAAGCATGTTGGGAGTGACACTGCCTTTCTCAGGGATCAGGGTCAAACTGGTTGATATGTGCTTTAAGTGATCATGCTCTGGATTGCCTGTTTAGTATTTAAAGAAGACAGTGTGTTTTAAAGGTGTGCAGGAACTGGATTCACTGCTTATTAAGTTCTAGAAGTTACAGGGTACAGAGGTCACACTTAGGAATAGACATCGTTTATATTGGTGATAATATTCATAAATAGAGCAAACATAGTCATTAAATAGTCTCATATTTATTAACTTATTAGATTTTTGTAAAGCTTTTATCTTTTTAATTTAAGGCCTGTCACTATGTAGTCCAGGCTAAGCTGCCCTCACAACCCTGTCTCAGCTTCCTGAGTGGTGGGTTCCAGGTGTGTGCCACCATGCCCATCTGCAAACTTCTCATGGTTTACTTTTCTCCCCAACCTTGAGATGGAATCTTACTGTGCTTCCATGGTGGCTTCACACTCTTGGATTCAAGTGACCCTCCCCTGCCTTAGCCTCCCAGGTAACTGGACAAACAGTGTGCCCCAGTGACATGCCAAACTCAGTTTAAATGCTTCTGAGGTCAAGTGGACTGATGTAAATTTTGACTGAGATGTAACAAGACTGATGCATTAAAGGATAGATCATACGAAGAAAGCCCTTCCTGCTCACTTCAGATGACCTTTTCTCTGTTTGACTTCTAGTGTTGAACAGTCACCTGACCTGCAGGACCAGTTGAGTCATTTACTGAAGTAGCATGCTAGAACAGGAACTGGCTTCTTTGCCTGACGCTGAGGAGGACCTCCCTTACACAGTCATCACGCTGCGTGCTTGGTTTCCATTTTCATCTCCAAAATTTCATCTAGAAGAGACTTGTGAAGAGGAGCCAGGTGACTGAACTTGGAATCACTTCTTTTGTTTTTTTGAGACAGGGTTTCTCTGTGTAACCTGCCTTTTCTGGAACTCACTTTGTAGGCCATGCTGGTCTGGAACTCAGAGATTCGTCAGCCTCTGCCTCCCAAGTGCTGGGATTAAAGGCATGTGCCACTACCATCTGGCCTTGGAATCACTTCTTAAATTGGATTAACCCATACTCTTATTAGATATTTAAGTTGTTTAATTTCATATTAAAATAGAATTAATAAGTTCAGTCATTAGCACTGAAAATAAAAGACACCTTAGCTTGCTAAACACTGTGTGCTGTATTGTGTAATGTGATCCTTGGTCCTTAAGCATATCACTGTGCCATAATTTTTCTTTGCTTTGTTTTTGGAGGCAGAGTGTCCCTGTGTAGACTGTTGGCTTTGAACACACAATCCTGCTGCTGGCTTTGAACACAATCCTGCTGCCGGCTTTGAACACAATCCTGCTGTTGCCTTTCAAGTGCTGGGATTGCAAATACCACATCTGGCCACTGAGTAATAGTCAGTCAGTCTCAGACACTTGGGAGGCCGAGGCGGGGGTGGGGGGATGAGGAGATGGGAGCACTTGAGTCCAGGAAGTTGAGGCCGTCCAGGGCAATACAGTCTTTCTGTCTCCAAGAAGAAGAGACAGAGGGAGGGGCTTCTTTTGCGAACCTGTGAGAATGATTCATACTTTAAGATGTTTAATTGTTCATTCAAGAAATTTTCTTTAAGGGATGCACACATGGATAATGGCAGACTCTTGCATGACAATCGGGCCAATGACAGCCTCTCTGGCCAGCTGCAGCCTCTCTGGCCTTGGCCTTTGTTTCTGGCTCCTTTCTTTCTGTGACTCTTGATTAAGTGACCTTGGTTCATTTTGTAATTTTATAGCCACCCCATTCCCTTCACATTTGGAAGTAACCTACGCAAGTAGATCTTCTGATAATTAGGTAAAGTTACAAAATGAACTACATGGAGAAACCCAGTCTCAAACAAAACAAAAAGTCTAAATGCAGATTAGTTCGTTAAAGTGTCACCTCAATCACTGAAGTACAAATTAATAAATATATCACCGACTATGACATGTATAAAATGAATTACATTTGAAAAGAGTTCTCTCTCAGCTTAATACTAAAATTTTAGTCAATGTAAAAATGTCTGACTCCTTATAAAGATATGAAATACATAACTAGTATTTGAAAGAATGTATCCAGATCAGTTATGAGAAATAATCCACAAAGTGCTAAAGAAGCAGCAGTTAAAATGGCATTTGCTTGTGGTACCATTTCTATGACTTCCACAAACTCTCAAAGAACAGAACCTTTCCCTATATTCCAGCATATAAAACATGACCGTTAGAAGCTGGTGAGATGGCTCGGAAGTTAGGAACACTTGCTACTTTTGCAGAGGGCCCAGGTTCAGTTCCCAGCACCCTCTTCAGACAGGTCACAACTTTCTATAACTATAGCCCCAAGGGCTCTAATGTCCTCTTCTGGGCTCCACAAACATCTGCATTCACATATATGTGCTTGAACATGCATATACACAGATTGATATACATAATAAAAATAAATATTAAAATCATTAAAATAATTCATTTGCTAAAGAAAATGTGATTTTCATCTATAAATGAAAGGCAAGATTTATGGATATTGATGTTTAAATTTATTTTTCTGTGTATAGATGTCTTGCCTGAATGTATGTCTATATACCATATGTGTGCAGTGCCTGAGGAGACCACAAGTATTAGATCTCCGGAGCTGGAGTTACAGACAGTTGTGAGCCATCATGTGGGTTCTGGGAATCGAACTCAGATCCTCTGGAAGAGCAGCAAGTGCCCTTAAGTGCCGAGTTGTCTCTTCAGCCCTGGAATGCTGGCTACTTTTGAAAGCTCTACTCTGTTGTCTAATTACAGAAGAATTCAGGGTAGCCAGGGCGATGTAGTGAAACATTATCTCAATTTGTCTCTTCTATTTTTTGTTGTGTATGTGGGGATAGGGCACACATGTGGAGGTTAGAGGAATAACTTTTTGTAGTAGGATGCCACTACTTCATTTCCCGGCCGCCCTTACCTGAAATAATCATACAAAGCCTATATTATTTACAATACTTTTTGGCCAATAGCTTAAGCATATTGCTAGCTAGCTCTTACATCTAGAAATAATACATTTCCATTATTTTATATTTTACCACGAGGCTCGTGATCTCCTGGCAAGGTTCTAGCTCACAGCTTGAGTCTTTCCCCTCTGGCGACTACATGGCGTCTCAACTTATGTAAATCAGTTCTCTTCTTCCATCATAAGGAGTCTGCTGGTCAAACTTAGGTCAGCAGCCTTGGTTGCAAGGGCCCTTACCTGCTGAGCCATCTTGCCAGACAAAAGCTTTGTATCTTGAAACATGACTCTGGGTACTTAACCAGAATCTGCCTTTCCTGGGCTTTCCTACAATTGCTAGCCCAATAGTTTTCCAAACAAGTGTGTGGCAATATTCTGAAGATCTTCCTTGGAGGTAAGGGAAGAAAACAGGAAATTTTCTATATATGATTTTTTTTTAATTAAAAAAATCAAGATGGCAGTTCTTATGCATATCTGTAATCCTAGCACCTGGGAGGTGGGGGCAGGAGGACCTGTAGTTCAGGGCTGGCCTCAGCTACCTTGAGTTTGAAACCAGCTAAAGATCCTTTCTCAATTTTCCACCTCCTTAAAAAATTAATTTTGCTAATGTTTGATACAGCTTGCTTGAAGAGCTCAAATCGAATGCTTGCCCTTCAGAAGAGATGATACACAACACACGGGCTGTGTGTGTGGCTCAGTGCTGGTTCCCTTGCACACATGAGACCCAGGGATCAACCTTCAACTCTGGGAAACATCCCCAAAGCTTGAACACAACCAGCTGTGCAGCGGAGGCCCTGCCTGATGAGAGCATTGCTGGTCACCATCCAACCCCAAATCAACCCAGTGGACCAGATACCATGAGGGAAGGGGGCGGTAACTGACGTTGAAAGCGGTTTGCTTATTGCGTTTATGTGGGTGTGGTTATTAAGTGGTTCTCGTGACTAAACCAAGATAGCACAAGTGAAGATGTGCACAACCTCTCCCCGCCCTCTGAGACAAAGCTGTCACCATAACAAGGAGAAAGTAACTCCTCGCTACATAAGTGCTAAAAAGTACACTATGCCTATAAAAGTGGTCAATTCTTTACACACTCAATAGTTAGAAATGTCCCAATCTAAAAATATTCAACAAGGATTGCCTGTGGGTCTTTTTTTAATGACTTACTTTTTAAAAATGTTTAGCTTTATGTTTCTAAAGAGTGTGACATACGTATTTATTGGATGCCAGCTATCCTCCAGGGACTATATTGTGTTCTGAGGAAACACTTTGGAGTGATTAATAATTAGCTCTGCGACCTTCAGCGAGTTATTTATTTAACCAAGGGAAGTCAGAACAGGAACTCAAGGCAGAAACTTGTAGCTAAAACCGTGGATCTTCTCTTCTGCTCGTGCCCAGACAGCTTTCTTGTATAACACAGGCACACTTGCCTAGGGGATGGATGCCCCTTAAGGATTTATTTTTATTTTATGTGCATTGATGTTTTGCCTACATGTGTGTCTGTGAAGATGTCAGACCCCCTGGAGTTACAGACAGTTGTGAGCTGCCATATGGGTGCTGGAACTGAACCCGGGTCCTTTGGAAGAACAGCCAGTGCTCTTAACCATTGAGGCATCACTTCAGCCCTGGAGCTGTTTTTCAACATTTTTTTATGCATCTATGTATGCATGCTGTGTTCTGCCTACGATCAGAGGACAACCTGCAGGAGTCGGTTCCCATGTGCATTCCAGGGATGGAAGTGAGGTCCTCTGTCTTGGTGGCATTCACCCTGACCCATCAAGTCATCTCACTGCCACCCTGTTAACTTCCAATAACAATTAATTGGCAACAGGGAATTTGGAAACTTACGAGATGGATTTCAACATTTTATTTGTAATGGCATGGGTTTAAAAACAGAAAGATAATTTCCTAAGAGTCCACTTTTTTATCTAGACATCTTTCCCTTTAGACCGCTACATCCCCTTATCTTGATGAATGGCAATGCTTGATTCAAGCACAAAGCAGGTAAGACACACAAACAAATATAGGGTGGTTGAGATGGCACAACTGGAAAAGCTAAAAGCACTTGCCACACAAGCCTGGCGCTGGAGCCCGGAACCCACTGTGGAAGGAGAGAAGTAACGTATGAAAGCCACCTGTCTCCATCCGTGGGTCATGGTGCTCACACACATGTGCACACACCAGTTTAAAAGACACAGCTGTAACGGTGGGAACAGGCGCTTTTTTAAAAAAATATTTATTTATTTATTATGTATACAATATCCTGTCTGTGTGTATGTCTGCAGGCCAGAAGAGGGCACCAGACCCCATTACAGATGGTTGTGAGCCACCATGTGGTTGCTGGGAACTGAACTCAGGACCTTGGGAAGAAAAGGCAATGCTCTTAACCACTGAGCCATCTCTCCAGCCCTGGAACAGGCACTTCTTAAAGATGCATCCTGACTGGTGGTGGTTCAGCAGGGAAAGACTCTGGCAGGCAGGCCCTCCGGCACAGTTCTCTTCTGGGTGCCCACAGTGTGGAAGTGGAGAACCAACTTCCTAAAAGTCCCCTTCACCACACATCACCAGGGCACCCCCACCCCGTAGATACGTAAGATGCAATATAAACAAAAGCAGTTGAGGTGAAGTGGCATTAATGGAAAATACATGCAAACTGGCGAGTTACTGTGCTGGGCGCTTTTCTAGATGCGACTAGACAGTGGCTACCCAGTGAAGAGTTCATCTCTGAGACATTCCAGAAAAGGCAAAGCTGCAGGGAGAGAGAGTCAAGTCTGTGTTTGCCTAGGAGCTGGATGTGGAAGGAATTTCCCACCAAGGGGCACACACAAGCCTTCTGAACTAGAGAACCACTTTAATCTTGCGGGTTGCAGGGGTGGGGTGGGACAGTTCTAGCTGTCTTTAGAACTAGCTTTGTAGATCAGGCTGGCCTCAAACTCAGAGATCTGCCAGCCTCTGCCTCCTGAGTGCTGGAATTAAAGGCACAGCACCATGCCTGATGACTAGAGAATTCCAGCAGAGCTGTGCGCAAATGACACTCCGTGAACGACTTTATGAGTGGGATAGAGGGAAGAGTTCATGCCACAGGGAGGAAAATACATATGGGTGTTCATTTAAACACACACACACACACACACACACACACGCACACACACGCACACACACACAGAGAATGAAATTCAGCGGATCAATAAAGGAAGATGTTAACTAATAAGACGGGGTGCAAAGACTCCAAGGTGAAGAGGACACCCAGCCTTGGCTGAGGAAGGGTTTTGCAGGGCTGCGGGGTTGAAGGTCAGTCAGGGGGCGTGGCCTCGGCGCGCTGCTGCTTCTTAGCGGAGGGAGCTGAGGGGTTATCCCAGGTCCAGGAGTGTGGAGATCGAGAATCAGTGAGTAGCTTCTGGTCAGTCCCCCTCTGACCTCTGACTTGCCACAGGCCCATAGCGCCTCCCGCCCTGCTCCCACTTCTGGGCAGCCCAATCGGCTGCCTGTGCCTGGCTGAGGGCCTCAGCCCCCTTCCTCTCCGCCCTGTGTGTTGCTATCCCTCCATCTTGCCCTCAGCCCGGTCCCTCTCAGTGTGGTCACCCCGTTTAGCCTCTGTTCTCCCTTTTCAGTGTCCGCTCCCCGAGCCGCTGAGATTCACAAGGACGTTCAGGTGAGGGTCCTAGGGATTGGCTGCGTGGGATCGCTGGTTTCCGGGAGTCCTGCCAGCAAGCAGCTTCTGCTTACAGAGCACGCTGGGGTTGGGCAGACCAGGGCGCGGGGTTGGAGTTGGCCCTGAGCAAAGGCCAGTGGGCTGTAATTAAGAATGTGGTGGAGGCCTCCAGCTCTGTTCTTTTCCTCCTGGCTTCCGTTCCTTGGCTGTTGCGTCAGAACTACTACGGGAATGTACTGAAGACATTTGCAGACCTCCAGACTAATGCTTGTGTCACGCCAGCCACGCTGGTCCCCAAATACATCCGGGAAACTCTGAAGAATGTACACAAAGACGTTACTTCGAGGTAGAGTGTATATACTGTTGCCACGAAGCCTCCAGAGTGCAGTTTTCCCATACTCGTCGCTAGGGAATTTAGCCATATCTGTTGGCCATCCTTTTTCCCATATCTACTGTGAAACCCCAAAGCTCGGCACTGAGCTGCTTGCTCCTCTGCTAAAGACCCCTCGGAGATGCTCTCCATTCCATCCCTTCCCATTGCAGGAGACATTCAAGCTCCTTGGACCGTGGCAGACAGTCAAGTGTTTAATAGACTAGCTCACACTTGCTAAATAGGTGATCTTTGCCTGGCATAATATTGCCCACCCGGAGATCAGTTATCAAAGAGGGTACCTTACCCCCTGCCTCTCCAAAACCTCACTGAAGTCTTCCTAGCATCATGGAGCCTTCTCTCCCCTCCCCCCCCCCCAAGCACTGCCACACTTACTCCCAGTGACACTCGCTGTCTGTCAGTCATGGGAAAGGTTCCATACCTGTAGTTTTTACCTCTCAAGTTACAGTGCCTGCACCTGGGGACAGGATACTTTCCTTGTTCAGTAGACAGTGCCTTAGATGTATGTATTCAACACATATTTTAGATGGTTTTCTTGAGATCTGCTACCTTGCGCGGTGCCCAGCAACACTGCTATGGCAGCCATGCTCTGGTTTAGTGGGAGAGACAAAATAGTAATGTAAGTGGGTGATGGAGGGACGGGGGAGGGATTTACCACCTGAGACTTTTCCAGTCTGTTTTTAAAACATGTCTTTCCCCCTTCTCAGGTATTATGGCTGTGGTCTGGTTGTCCCCGAACGCCTGGAAAACTGCCAGATTCTGGATCTGGGTTGTGGAAGTGGCAGAGACTGTTATATGCTTAGCCAGCTAGTTGGCAAGAAGGGACATGTCACTGGAATAGACATGACTAAGGCCCAGGTAAGGCAAAGATTTGGAGGAAAGGGAAGAGGTTTTGCCAGATCATTCTTTGAGGCTGGAAACTGCTTCCCGCTGTCCTTCACAGTGTTTAGGATTGCTGGGGTTTTGTTACTGTCATTTGTGCCTCTTGTGACCTAGAAGTTGAGGACGTTGACAATCAGTGACTCTCCTGGAGAAGTCAGTCAGAGGTTTAACCTGATAGATGAGCGGTGTGATGACCCAGCGGCATTTCCTCTGGTCGTCTCTGTCATTGGATACCTCAAGCAAGACTCACTTAGTTAGGAACTTCTGTCCCAGGCTGTGGCATATCTTCCATGCCTCACGAATCTTGTCTATCCATCCAGAATAACTCAGGGCAGGGAAAGCATATGGCATTAGCAATAGGACAGTTTTCAGGAAAAAAAAAGATTTATTTTTGAATGATGCTGATGACCAAATCTGTAGTTTTCTTTTTCTAGGTGGAAGTAGCTAAAACCTATCTTGAGTACCACATGAAGAAATTTGGTTTCCAGGCACCCAATGTGACTTTTATTCATGGCTGCATTGAGAAGCTGGCAGAGGCTGGGGCCCAGCAGGAGAGCTACGATATTGCTGTGTAGGTCTGCAGCCTTTCTGCTAAGAGCAAAGCCCATTTCCTTTTGAGCACACAAATGCTACCACTCTTTGATGAACTGACTCTTGTTTAAGGAATTAAACTAGGGGCCTAGAGAGATGGCTCAGTGGTTAAAAGCACTAGCTGTTTCTACAGGACCTGGGTCCAATTCCAGCACCCACATGGCAGCTTACAACCGTCTCCAGTTCCAGAGGATATGACCCCCTCACACAGAAATACAGGCAGGCCAAAACACCAATGCACATGTAATAAAAATAAATATTTAAAAAGTTTAAAAAAGAAAAAAGAATTACACTGAACTTAGCAGTCCTTTATAAAGGAATGAGGTCTCTGTAGTCCATTAGCAACAAAACACAGCTGCCTGAGAGAGAATTTAAAGCTGCCATGTGTGTCCAGCCTCTGGCACAACCATGTGACCAAGGATAGCTATGGATACAGCCCAACACAAAGGCATAAACTTAAATATTATGAGGTTTTTTGTCACTCAGTTGTGCATGTGTTGGTGTAAGAGTAGAAGACAGTGCCACCTTACGATGCCAGTCTATCTGCCCACCAAACTAAAGTCAGTGACTCCCCGGGCCAGCTAGACCCCAGTCTGTGCTCCTGTAACACATACCCACCTCTTATCTGGAGTGTAATGGTGGGTTATGTTGCTAGAAATTTGTATTGGAGCATTTCCTAATTGTGTGAGCATCAGCGTGTACTCCCCCAGGCTTTGATGATAGAGCCCTCTGCACAGTTAGGCTGGGTGATGTACACAAAAGAGCCAGCCTATTGATACTAGGGCCCGATGAACAGAACATCAGGTCAGTTCAGACCTAAGAGGTGATGCTCTCCAGGGCTGCAGTCATTCAAGATGTGTGAGCAGGCAGTTTTACAGTGCTTTTTCTTGTAAGCGAAGTGGGTGCACCATAAACTAACGATAAAAAGTAAAGGCCAGTTGTCTTGTTCATGAAGTGTGGCGCACTGTGCGTCGTCATTTTTCTACAACTGGCAGCCAGTGAAGATGTTGACTCCAACCTTGTTACAGATACTTGGCTAACCAACTATGGTGTAGCTCTGGTTGTCGCTCTACTAGACAATAACAGGCCTTATTGTAATCTTATGAGACTACCATCATGTTTTGAGATAGGGTCTCACTATGTAGTTAGTGGCCGAACGGGAACTTGCCGTGTAGACCAGACAGACCTTGAGTGCACAGAGCTCTTGCTTCCTGACTAAAGGCAGGCACCACCATATTTAGCCATGACTATATTTTTTTTTCATGGCAAATTATGGTGTTTTGTGTTTCTCATTTTCCCAAATCATTGTTAAATCATGCCCAGGTAACAGGATCGTGCTGTTTTTTTTGTTTTTTGGTTTTTTTTTTTTTTTTTTTTTTTTTTTGATGCTGGGAATTGCACCCTAAAGAAGCATTTTACCATTGAGCTACACACCTAGCCTCAAATGAAAGTGCTAGGAAATCTGCCTTTGAGGGACTTTGTCTTGAACACCTTGCACAGCAGGCATCTGAGTCCAGGTTTGGTTTCATTGCCTGGTGAGCATCAGGACAAAAATAAGAATCACGCTTCCCATTCCTTCATGCACATTTGTTCTCCCTGGCTGCTTCTGATATGTCTCAAACAACTTGCCTGTCTCCCTCGTCTTGGGAAAAAGTTGGGTATGAGGAAGGAAGGAGAGCCAGGAAGAATTGGTAGCTTTGATGATAAGATGGAAGCCCCTTTGGGTCTGAAAGGATTTGAGTCCTTCAACATCTGTTCTTTTTCCTTATTATTTTTTTTAGATCCAACTGTGTTATCAACCTTGTTCCCGACAAAGAGCAAGTGCTCCGGGAGGTGTATGACACGCTGAAGGTGAGGGAGAAGGAGATGGCTGGTCTTAAGACACCAGAGAGGGCTGGCAGGATCATACACTCTTCCGCAACTAAGAGTCCAAACTCTCGATTTATTAAGAAGGAGCCAGGTTGGCCATGGTGGAGAATCAGGGAGTTCAAGGCCAACCTCAACTGTATGTGATGTTGATTCAACAAAAAAGTACACAAAAGGGGAGGTGTGAAGTGGTGTTGGCAAAGTACTCTAGCTAGGGCTTATTTTTTCCTTTCAGGAAATGGGTCATTGACTGTCAGAATATTGGCCTTCGATCCTATTGCCCCTGGTTACTATTGACTGTGACTCGCAGGTGACACCTGCAGAGTCACCGGAACCTGTTGAGTCACTCGGAAAAGTCCCCAGGAATTCGCCTTTCCTCAAACAGACCCTGCTTTTCCGTGATACTATTTCTGATACCTTACTTTTGAAAACTCTAAGATGGACGTTTTCTATGGAGGCCTTTTTAGAAGGGAAACTTCCATTTGCTCCCCAGCCTCCCTGCCTATGAAGGGGTTTGTTTCATAGTACTAGAGAACACTGGGATTTGGAGGGCCGAAGGTGAAGTTCAGGGGCAGAAATGTGCAGACACAGGGCTCAACCCCAAGCACTGCAATAAGAATTGTGGGATGTTTGGCCTAAGGGGCTCTTCTACAGCTCAGATAGAAGTATCTCTAAAGGGCTGGGCTGGGGCTCAGTGGTTAAGAGCACTGGCTGCTCTCCCAGAGCACCCAGGTTCAATTCCCAGTACCCACATGGTGACCTCCAACCAGCTGTCATTCCAGTTCTAGGTGCTTGATGCCCTTTTCTGGTCCCCAAGGGTACCAGGGCACAGACATACATGCAGGCAAACACATAGGCCTATTTTTGTAATTATTTGTAAAATTACAAAATAAAAATTGAAAGTTATCTATGTAAGAATGATCCCATGCTGTTTCAAGGATACCATCTTGTATACCAGCTCATGATATTCACTGAGATCAAGTAAGAGACGCTAAACATTACTATAGAATGTAGACATCCATGCTTTTGAAATTAGCTAAGTAAATCCTTCAATTACTGCTAACCCCTTTGACCTATATGTTAAGAATATATAAAAATTATAATGTGTAATAACATCACTGTAATTTTCCGTCTTTTTTTGGTTTTTGTTTTTGAGACAAGTTTTCTTTGTGAGCCCTGGCTCTTCTAGAATTCATGATATATATCAGGTTGGCCTTGAACTCAGAAATCCCCCTGCCTCAGCCTTCTAAGTGCTGAGATTAAAGGTGTGTGCCATCACTGCCCAGCTTCATCACTATAATGTTTTTCTTCCTCCCTCCCTTCCTTTCTTCTTTTCTCTCTCATTCTTTTTTTATTTTCCCCCCAAGACAGGGTTTCTCTGTAGCCCTAGTTGTCCTGGGACTCTTTCTGTAGACCAGACTGGTCTCAAACTCACAGAGCTCCCCCTGCCTCTGCCTCCCAAGTACTGGGATCTAAGACATGCACCCTGCCACCTGGTTCAGTGACTGTAATTTTCGAAGGTTAGACTGTTAATTCTGTCAATGTGCCTATTAGTTATCCAGATCCTAGGGCTTGTTCTCTTTGGACTAGCTAAAAAATTTAGGCAACCTGAATGTATTTAGGAGAAACACTCTTTCCCCCCCCTCCTGTGTTCTTGTTTATTTAAAAACTTAAAAAAATTTACTTATTTTATTTTATATGTATGAATGTTTTGCCTGTATTCACACATGTGAACCGCATGTGTGTCTGGGGAGCATGGAGGTCAGAATTGTACTTATAGATGTTGGTGACTGAACTTGGTTTCTCTACATCAGTGGTTCTCAACCTGTGGGATGAGGCATCTTTGGGGGTTGCATATTAGATATTTACATTACGATTCATAATAGTAGCAATATTACAGTTATAAAATGTAATGAAATAACTTTATGGTTGGGGTCCCCACAACATGAGGTGCTGTATTAAAGGGTCGCAGCTTTTGGAAGGTTGAGAACCTCTATTCTAATCTATTTGAATCCTCACATTTTGTTATTTATTTAGAATTTCCTGATAAGACAGCTCCTTTATGTAACTTTATGTTTTTGAGATGTGGTCTCTCACTGAACGCGGAACTCACCAAGTTGCTGGTTGATCACTTTCAGGGACTTAGATATTGGCCCCTTTAGAACTGATGTAAACTACACCTGGTTTTTGTGGATGCTGAAGACCATAACTCAGCAGGCACTCACATGGCAAGCACTTTACCCACAATCCATCTCTCCATCCTAGTACTTTTCCGTGTGTGCAAATAGTATACACAGATGGTATTCACGCTCCCTTAGTCCTCTTATGCTTCTCCACTTCCTGATAACTCCCTCCTCTCTGAGCATTGGAAAGGAACTTCCTGTTGGATAGGACACAGAGTAAACAAACACCTCTGTCCCCGTGTGTTGATTTTAATGAGCCAGGCAGCCCTTGTTCAAAGGTCAACTTGGTCAGTCTCAGGTCAAACACTGGAATTTTGAAGTTGATCTCCTGGACTCATCAATTTTTTGTTGTTGTTATCTGGGATCAATGTAATCTTTAACCTTGCTCAGATGTGCACTGCTCTTTTTCAGTACGGTGGGGAACTATATTTCAGTGACGTCTATGCTAACCTTGAAGTGCCGGAAGACATCAAGTCACACAAGGTTTTATGGGGTATGTGCTCTTGCTTCTTTCCCATCATTGATTATTGACTAGTGTCGAGTTCCATCCTGCAAGGAAGCTGCGGTGAGACCACAGGATGGGAGAGCAAATGGAGTGTGGCCAGAAGGGTCTATTCTTTTTCTGCTACCCAGAAACAGTATGAGGGCTGGTGAGACAGCTCAGTGGGTGAAGGAGCTTGTGGCTCAGGGCTGGCCATCTGAGTTTGATTCCTGGAACTCATGTAAAGGTGGAAGTAGAGGACATTCCACAGAGCTGTCCTCTGACATGTACATGTCCACTGTGGCACATATGCCCACGTGACCCCTCCTACCGCTGTAAGCAAGCTTTTCTTAAAAAGTGATATAATCTCAAGCAATTTAATTAATCTAGTATTTGTCTTCTAAACTATAAATTGAAAATAATAACAGACTACTTTACAAAACTATTTTGAAGAATAAATGGGATAGAGTGTTTATTCTTTTATAGTCACTTGAGAGTCACTGGAAGTTCAGGAGACAAATGCACGTTCATGGTCAGTCAGACTGGAAAATAGCAGTGTTTGCATTTAAACGGGAAGTGGTGGCCATGCCCGTGGTCTCAGTTCTTTGAAGATGAAGCAAGAGGATCGATCGGTGCTCATCAAGGCTGGCACAGGGCACATGAGACATAGTCTCAAAAAAAATCTTACTTTTAAAATAGATTATCAGGGCCGGTCTATGAGATGACTCAGTAGGTAAATCACTTTCCTTACATGCCCGATGAGCTGAATTCAATCCTCAGAGCACGGAGAGAATAGACCTCTGTGCTCCATATATGCCCTGTGGTGTTTGTGCCTCACCCAAGAATGTGTATGTATGCACACACACACACATATATACATATACATATAGATATATATGTGCACACACACACACACATGCAGAGAAGAGATGGCTCATGGGTATAGCCACTTGCTGCCAAGCCTGACAACCTGAATTTGCTCCCCGGAATCCCCGAGGTAGAAGGAGGGAAGCAACTCCTGAGAGCTGTCATCTGGCCCACATGTGCACTGCGGCATGTGCTTTCTCTCATATATGCTGCAGACAAACAAACATATAAAATATATAGGTACATAAATATGCCAAGTATTGTTGCACGTCTTTAATTCTATCACTGGGGAGGCAGAGGCAGGCAGATCTCTATAAGTTCAAGGCCTGGCCTACGTAGAAAGTTCCAGGCCAGTGAGAGCTACATAGTGAGAGCCTATCTTCAAAAAAGTAAGATAATAAATAAGAAAAATAATTAAAACAGAACATTTAAAAAATACAAAATATGTATTTCCTAAGTCCAAATTTATTTTATTTTATGTATGTGGGTATTTTGCCTGCATGTAGGTCTGTGCACCAAATGCGTGGCTGGTACCTGTGGAAGACATATGAGGGTGTCCGATCTTCTAGAACTGGACTTACAGATAATTGTGAACTGCTATGTGGGTGCTGGGACTCAAACCTGGGTCCTCTAGAAGAGCAGCCAGTGCTCTTGGTCTCAGACCCATCTCCCCAGGCCTAGTCTAAACATGTATAAGCAGTCTTATACAACTGTGTTGCTCTGCTTGGCATGTTTGTTTGCTAGTAACCATTAGTTTGTCTCTAACTTATTGATGTAACACATAAAACGTGTATTGTAAAAATAAGAGCGGCAGGGCTGCGTCCCCAGCACCCCGGCTGCCTGGCTAGCTTATGCCCGAAATAACAACACACAAATTGTATTCTTTTAAACACTGCTTGCCCATTATAGCTAGCCTCTTCTCGGCTAACTCTCACACCTGGACTAGCCCATTTCTAATAATGTGTGTAAGCACCCCAAGGTGCGCTTACCAGGAAGATTCTAGCCTACATCCATCCTGGGTTGGAGCTTCATCGTGTATGCCCAGGAGAGCGAAGCAGGGCCTCTGCTCCAGAGAGCAGAGCTGTCGAGTCTACCTGGGAGAGCTGAGCATGGCGTCTCTGCTCCAGAGAGCAGAGCTATCGGGTCTGAGCTCACTTCCTCTTCCTCCCAGCATTCCATTCTGTTTACTCCTCCCACCTATGTTTTAACCTATCAGGGCAAGCAGTTTCTTTATTTAATTAACCAATGAAATCAACAGATTGATATATGACACTCCCACATCAGTGTATGAATATCCTTGCACTTAAAATAATCTGTAAAAACGCCTTGTGAACATTAGTGGTGGTTATTGTTCTGGTAGTAGACTATGGGATTCATCTAGAGCTAGGAGGCGGGTTTCCAGAGCATGACTGAGCACAGATACAGGATTGTGATTGTGTCTTAGAAGAACCGACACATCATCACTGTCCTGGAAACCATTCTCAGAGACCTCTAACTAACAAATTCTGGGTTTAATCACTACTCTCTAGGCCTCGTGGATACTTCCAGGTCCTATGTTTTGTTTTAAATTTATAATAATTATTTTTTTCTTTTAGTTTTTGATTTTTTAAGATAGACAAGGTTTCTCTGTATAGTCTTGGCTGTCCTGGAATTTGCTTTGTAGACCAGACAGGTCTCGAACTTACAGAGATTTTCCTGGCTCTGCCTCCCGAGAGCTGGGATTACAGGCATTTGCCACCCCATTTGCTTTTACGCAGTGCTGGGGATCAAATCTAGGACCTGCTAGGTAAGCGACTAAGCCACATCCTTAGCTCTTGTGGTTTTGTCTTTTTGAGAAAGGGTCTCATGCTCACCCGGGATGCCCTTGGACTCCTCATTGTCTTGCCTCTAACTTCCACCTGCTGGGATTACAGGTGGGCACCTCCATGGGCAGTTAGGTTCCACATCTATACTATGTTCTAGCTAATGGTGCAGGCTATAAATTTCCATAATGCTGCTGTATTCATTGCTCTGTAATTTTTCTTTTAAGGCGAATGCCTGGGAGGCGCTTTGTACTGGAAGGATCTTGCCATCATTGCCCAAAAAATTGGATTCTGCCCTCCACGTTTGGTCACTGCCAACCTCATTACAATTCAAAACAAGGAGCTGGAAAGTGTTCTTGGTAAGAAACAATGGCAGAGATTCTGATGTGGTGGGAACGGTTTCAGTTCAGTGGTTAGTTAATTTAATGAGTGATTCTTTTTTTAAAAATGGGTATTAGTGTTTTGCCTGCATGCATGTCTGTGTGAGGGTGTCAGGTCCCCTGGAACTGGAGTTACAGACAGTTGTGAGCTGCCATATGGGTGCTGGGAATTGAACCCGGGTCCTCTGTCAGAGCAGTCGGGGCTCTAACTGCTGTCTAGCCCCCTTCAGTGAGTGATTCCTACCAAGGGGAACTGTATCACCTGGAAGCGTCCATCGTGTCTCCTGAATGATCTCAGCCCTCCCTCAGAGTGATATTTAATGAAGTGTTTGGAAAGACTGAGGCACCCAGAGAGACAGCTGATGGCTTACCGTGAGGAAATCACCTGTGCAGCATCCTCCTGTGTTGAATGCAGCTGGGGTGCAGGAGGTGAGCCCTGTGTGTCTGCTTTCAGGGGACTGTCGCTTTGTGTCTGCCACGTTTCGACTCTTCAAACTCCCTAAGACAGGACAAGCTAAAAGATGCCAAGCTGTTTACAAAGGAGGGATCACAGGGCATGAAAAAGAACTAATCTTCGATGCAAATTTCACATTCAAGGTAAACAACAACAACAACTGCTCAAGGGGTAGCAGTGTGACTAAGTGGTAGTGCACTCACCAGCCGGCTCAAGGCTCCGTGTTCCATCTTCAGCAAGTGGGCTGGGCAAGGCTGGTATCCATTGTGTCTGCAGCATTCTTCTGCTTTTGCCCCCTGCCCTCCACCCCGCCCCCCACTACAGTACCTTTCTTGGATCTTGAGTTTAACCCTAAATTGCTTTTCACTATCCTGATGTTGATTGGTTTGTGTGTAATTTTGTTTTTTTTTTTTCCTTAATTGAAGTTTTCATTTTACTTCCAGTAGGATAGTAAACTTTTTTTTCTAACTTCTTTTTTTCCTTTTTTTATTGATTTTTATTGAGCTCTACATTTTTCTCTGCCCCTTTCCTGCCTCTCCCCTCCCCCAAGGTCCCAATTTACTCAGGAGATCTTGTCTTTTTCTACTTCCCATGTAGATTAGATCTATGTAAGTCTCTCAGTGTCTGCATTGTTGTCTAAATTCTCTGGGATTGTGGTTTGTAGGCTGGCTTTCTTTGCTTTATGCTTAAAACCCACCTATGAGTGAGTACATGTGATAATTGTCTTTCTGTGTCTGGGTTACCTCACTCAAAATAATGTTTTCCTGCAAAATTCAAGATGTCGTTATTTTTTCCTGCTGTGTAGTACTCCATTGTGTAAATGTACCACATTTTTCTTATCCATTCTTCGGTCGAGGGGCATTTAGGTTGTTTCCAGGTTCTGGCTATGACAAACGGTTTAGTTTAGATTTGGTATGGAAGGACTGTCGGGGGGAAAAGAAAGACTCCCAAAAATGATCACACCAAACCACTGCTGGAAGTCAAACGCCTTCCGGATCTACAAACAAACAGAAAGGCCAGAAACCTAAAAGCTTTCAGAACCAGCAGACAAAACCAGGTAGTCAACAGATAGGATCCCTACAGCAAGGGCAGAAGAAACAAATGGCTGCTATCAAAAGCAAGGGAGAGCCCGGCCTAGGACCCATCAGTAGCCACGGGGGAGGCAATACAGGATATTTAGACACACGGTCCTCATTGTGTGGTTTCTGTTTTGTTAAAGCACATTCCGAGGCTGAGAACGCAGCTCAGTTGGTTGGGCGCTTGCCTGGCATGCGTGAAGCTGGCATTTAATCCACACTGCATGGAAGCAGCTGCGGTGGCACATCCTGTCTGTCATCCTGGCACGTGGAAGGCAGAGGCAGGAGGATTAGAAGTCCTAGTGTTAATCCCACCAATCGAGAATAAGACCGCCGGCCACAGTTTAAAGCTAAATTTGAAGCAAGCTTTAATTAAGTACTGGCCAGGTGGGTGGGCTCTGGTTCTCAGGTTCCTGGAAAATGGCCGAGAATCAAGTATGGCCTGGGCTTTAAGGAAAGCCCGTAGTTGGTTGCATTTCCCTGCAGGTCCAATCAGGATGTAGTGGCGTTTCAATTGTATCTTAATAAAAATTAAATTTTCCTGAGGATCAGAAGAGTAAAACAGCCACACTGGTCAGCCTTAGAGACCAGGCAGCAATGACACGCCTTTAATCCCATTAGCCACACTAGTTTGCCATAGAAACCAGGCAGTAGTGGTGCACACCCTTAATCCCAGAGCTGGAAAGGATTATAAAAGAGGAGGAGACAGCTCTCAAATACAGTATCATTCGAAGATTCCTGGAGACAGGATCACCATTTTGGACTGAGGTGGAGGTGAGAGCCAGTGGCTGGCTGCTTTGCTTTTCGGATCTTCAGGTTGAACCCCAATTTCTCTCTCTGAGTTTTTTTTTTTTTAATTGTGCTTCATCAGGGGTGAGCATATATCCTGACATTCCTCCAGCCCACACGTGATCAAGCACATCCTGTACAGATGGGGCAAACAAGCTTGTTTAGGGGAGTGAAAACACGGGACTTACTGTAGCCTCCAGCATTTCAGGAACTGTCTGTCCTGGGGCAAGGGGCTGGCAGGTCAGAGGATCTCTACGGCACAGTAATTAAAACTTAAAATGTAATGTTGGCTCTCACACAAGGTCATTTTTGGGTACATAGCAATTTTGCAGCTAGCCTAAATGGCATTAGACACAGTCCAAAAGAAAGGAAGAAAGGAAGGAAGGAAGGGAAGAAGGGAGGAAGGAAGGAAGGAAGGGAGGGAGGGAGGGAGGGAAGGGAGGGAGGGAGGGAGAGAAGGAAGGAAGGAAGGAAGGAAGGAAGGAAGGAAGGAAGGAAGGAAGGAAGGAAAAAAATCTTTCTGAAAATTTTCTATTGGGTATGGTGGAACCCATTTGCAATCTGAGCATCTGTGAGGAGGCTTAGAAGAATTTCAGGTTCAAGGCCAGCTTGGGATATAAGTGAGTTCCAGATCAGCTTGGGATACACCATTGGATTTTGTCTTTAAGTTTTAGAAGGGAGTCAAAGAGATGGTTCAGTGCTAGCTGTACAGTCACGAGGACTGGAGTTCAGATCCCAGCTCCACATGCCAAGCCAGGTGTCCTGATGCATAGATCATACCGGCACCAAGGCCCAGTCAGGAGAGCTGCTGGGGCTCGCTCACTGCCAGCCAGCTGAGAACACCACGTTCTGGGGAGATTGCCTGAAGGAATAGACAGATAGTGATAGGAGACGCACCTAATGCTTTCTTCTGGCCTCTGCCTGTGCATAGGCAACATGCCCTCAAACACGTGTGCGTACACTCATATAGAAATGCTTTTTTTAAAAAAAAATTTAAAAAATAAGAAAAGAAAAAGAAAATATTTACTGAGTACCATGCATTGCTTTAGGGCAGCAGCTCTCAGCCTTCCCAGTGCTGCGACCTTTTAATCCACTGCCTCATGGGGGGGGGGCAGCCATCGAATTGCTTCGTTGCTACTTCAGAACTGTAATTTTGCTACTGTTAGGAATCGTAATGTAAAATATCTGTGTTTCTGATGATCTTAGGCGACCCCCATGAAAGGATCATTTGACCGCAAAGGGTCATGACCCACATGTTGAGAAGCATCTTGGGATTCAGAGAAACACACTTCAGAAACAAGAGCCCCAGCGGAGCTCCCATTTAGCTGGTCAGGCAAAGTTCAGGGCGAGACGGTTTCTCCAGCTAGCTCTGAAAAACACCTTAAACACTGGGGCACGGGTGCCCTTTATAGTACTGTCACCTAAGAAACATTGGTCAGCTGACCGTCCGCAAATACACGTGACATCAGCAGAGGGGTCTGACGATGACGAGAGAAGAGCGCCTTAGAAGGCCGGTATGGTCCCTTCCCCGAAATGTCACACAGTAGTAAGCTGGCCTGGCGAGATGGCTCAGCAGGGAAGGGGGCTTGCCTGGGACAGCCTGGCAACCTGAGTTTGGTTCCTGGAACCAAAAGGACGGCAGTGACGTCTTTTGCTGTTCACTTTGTGCTGCACTGTAGGAAGGCGAGGCTGTCGAAGTGGATGGAGACACGGCAGCTGTCTTGAAGAACTCGCGTTTCGCTCAGGATTTTCTCTTCACACCTGTTGTAGCCGAGCTGCCGGCTGCCAGGAGCTGTTCTGGATTAGAAACAAAGGTTTGTTCCACTTTCAGTCCCATACTTCAAACAGGTCCCTTAAAACGCGACCAACTGCAGGCTCTGCTAAAACAACAGTTTTCTTTGCGGTGGGCTACCTCAGCTAATATAGCTAAATGATTTGATTTGATCTGACAAATTCTTTTTATTTAAAGATTTATTTTTATTTTATGTGTTTGGGTGTTTTGCCTGCATGTTATGTCTTAGTACTGTGAATCCCTTGGAACTGAAATTACCGATGGTTGGTAGCTGCCGTGTGGTTGCTGGGAATCAAAGCTGGGTCCTCTAGAAGAGCTTAACCGTGGAGCCATCTCTCCAGCCCTTAAATCCTTTCCCCCCTAATTCTTCACAAGTCTGTAGTAATCTTTGAGTCTGCAATCCCCTGTAATTGTGTTTGAATAGATACTCTTTTGGGAAACTGCCTCTTTGATCAAGTTCTCAAAGGAGTCCAGACAGCAAAAAGGTTAAGAGTTACACAAAGGCCGGTCGGTGGTGGCGCACGCCTTTAATCCCAGCACTTGGGAGGCAGAGGCAGGAGGATCTCTGTGAGTTCGAGGCCAGTCTGGTCTACAAGAGCTAGTTCCAGGATAGGAATCAAAAGCTACGGAGAAACCCTGTCTCGAAAAATAAAAAAAAAAAAAAAAAAAGAGTTACACAAAAACATGTTACGTTCTGGACTCAGTACCACATACCCGTATATAATTCTGGTGACTAAGAATGAAGGGGAGCATTACTTAAATCAAGGAGTTCAAGACCAACATGGGCAACAAAGGAAGACCTTGTCTCAAAAACAAGCAAAACAAATCCAAACCCCAGGTGAACATTATAAATGGCCTCTATTTCCTTCTGGTAATCACCAATTCTAAGATAAAATTAAGTAATTCTTACTAATTTAACCACTTAAAAACTTAGCACAGATTTAAAAAAATTATTATTATCTTATTTTGTTTCTATGGGTATTTTGTCTACATGTATACCTGTGCACCACGTTTGTGCGTAGGGCCTACAGAGGCCAGAAGAGAGCGTCCAGTTTCCCTGGGACTAGAGCTGTAGACAGTTGTGAGCTGCCATGTGGGTGCTGGGACTTGAGTCTATGTCCTCTAGAAGAGCAGCCAAGGCTGAGTCATCTCTCCAGGACTAAAAACGTTTTTGTTTTTGTTTTAATATTTTTAATTAATTTCTTTATCTGTTATTAGTGCATCGCTGCATGTGCCAAGGCCAGAGGATGGCTTGTGTGAGTAGTTGCTCTCTTTCCATCATACGGGGTTTAGGGATTAACTCAGGTCGTTAGCTTTGACAGCAAGCTGTTTTCTGCTGAGCATTTTGTCAGCTCCCCCATCTTATGCCTTTAGAAATGTATGACTCAGTGGCGTTTAGTTCACAGACATCAACACTCTCTACTTCCAAAACTCTTGCCAAAACAAAAACAAAACAAAACAAGGCCAGGACAGTGGTGGCGCATGTCTTTAATCCTAGCACCCGGGAGGCGGAAGCAGGCAGATCTCTGTGAGTTCGAGGCCAGCCTGGTCTATAGAGCTAGTTCCAGAACAGTCGGGACTGTTATACAGAGAAACACTGCCTTGAAAAACAAAAACCAAAAAACCAAAATGTTCACCACCCCCATGCCCAGTGAGCAGCTGTCTCCTTGCCTGGTTCTCAGCAGTGGCTGGTGGGCTTCCACTCCGTGCTTCTGCCTCCTTTGGATATTTGATATGGGGAAACTCATACACATAGGCCTTTTGGAGCTGACTTTTTCACCGGTTTCCAAAGCTGCTTCTTCAATTGGAGTGTGCATCAGTCCTTCCCTCGTCTTGGCATAGGCTAGAACACATTGTTTAGCGTCCTCTTGATGTGCTGTCCCCTTCTTGGAGACTGTCAATAGCGCTATTAGGGACATGAATATGCAAATTTGTTTGAGTTTCTGCTTTCAAAGATTTTGCATCTATACCTAAGAATGGAATTGTTTTGTCTACATTCCTAACTTTTGGTGGTTTTTGATGTTTGTTTGTTTGTGGTTTTGAGACAGGGTCTCACTGTGTAGCCCTGACCAGCCTGAAACTCAGGGTGTAGACCAGTTCATCTTGAGCTCACAGAGATCCACTTGTCCCTGCCTCTGGGGCACTGAGATGAAAAGGAGCGTGCTACCATGATCGGGCATATTCCTAGCTTGTCAACAGCCAGCGAGCTGTTTTTCAGAGCAGCTGGACAGACCGCTTTGCATCCCTAGCCCTGTCTCCGGAGCAGTCCTGTTGCTGGTGACCGCACCCTGCAAGAGCGGGAACGGAACTGAATCTCCAGGTTGCGCTTATGCAGAAGGCAGGTGATCTGGGATGGCCATGGCCTGATACCGTTAAAACTGCTTCCCTTTATCTGCAGCCAGCAGCTTTAGCAGCGCAGGGAGAGCAAAGGCCATCATTCCTCCAGCATTCTTGTTCCTCTTGTCAGGTGGCCAGCCAGCCTTGTCCCTGAGCTCTATGATGTCAGTGCCTCTGTCCTTATCATCTCTTACCCTCTTCCCTTGTTCTCTGAACATCTGGGCCAACTCTAGTCAGTTTCTTCCTTTATTGTCCTTGTCTCCTCCAGGGCCATCTGGCCTAGGGAGGTAACTCGGAAGAAAGAGGTCACTAGCAAGAGCGTGGCCACGCCGACTCCTTTCTGTCATTCGAGGTACGAATGTGCCTTTAGAATCTCGACTATAAGGGTATCCTCACCCGTCTCTCCAGTCCCGTTGTGAGTAGCAATCCCTGTAAGTCTGCACTGAGGAACAGTAGATTCTTGCTGCTGTGCAGCCAGTGGTTAGCATGGCTTCTCCTCAGTATGGGAGTCTTCCAGAATAAAGCGGTGCATACCCTCTGAAACAGCAGGAGTTGTGCTAAGAAAGATTTTTGTTGTTGTGCTAGGAAAGCTAGGAAGGCTTCCCAGATACTGGAAGGTTCAGGAGCCAAAGGCAAGAAAAGACAGATGGGAAGTGAAAAAAAAAAAATCAACCTTCCCTTCCATGATTTTATGGACCATTTTAACCTGTAATAAGGTCTATTTTATTCATTTGGCTTTTTAAATCTTATTTATTCATTTTTGTTTTTTGAGACAGGATTTCTCTGTGTAACACAGTCCTGGCTGTCCTGAAACTCACCTTGTAGACCAGGCTGGTCTCAAACTCCCAGAGATCCGCCTGCCTCTGCCTTCCGAGCGCTGTGACTAAAGGCGTGTGCCACCACCGCCTGGCCTATGCA